AGTTTCAGCAGCTTGAGCAGCCAGAACACTGAGGAAACTTAGGCACTAATTGTCCATCTTATCTAAGACAGCCGAGCACCTCCTACAGTTACTTCTAACACATTCAGATGTAACTTGCCCCTATAGCCCCTCCGAAGAGATATGAAATTAAACCTCAAATTTTCAAGCTGCCCCACAGTCCTTTATCCTAAAGCTCCATATAGTTACCTTTCCTGTCATTTGGCTTTCTCCCTATATAAATTTGTAATGATAGAGAAAACTAACATTTGATGTACTTTATTGTTGACAAAGTACTTTTACATTTTTCAGTCATAGTTTTTTCTGTGAATTAAAATTTTATTCCCAGGGCAGTGCCCTAATCATACCTGAATTCTTAATAGGAGGGAGTTGCCTCTTTATTTTTCAAAGGAAGAATGGATGAAAAAGTGTTTCAGGATCCTTTTCTAACTCCACAAATTCGTGCCTCCAGAAAACACTAAATTACACTGTAGAAGAGTAGAAATTGGGTCCTTTCACAGAAGAAAGGGATAATCAGTGGGATAAGCAGATGGCCCACCATCTAAATTGAATAGGTAGCAGAGCAGGGGATTAAACCTGCTCACCACACTGGTTTCCCAAAAGTGGCAAGAGGAAAGGGTTTTTGTTTTTAATCTAAAAGATAAGGATTTTAATGCTTATTTATGATTCTCACAGGAATCATTCCTTAGATGAATTATTTGAATAATTTCGATGAATAATAACAAAACAAAAGAATCATTTTGGTCTGTGGATGTCATTTAACCCCTTCCCCGGCAGAAACGTGTATACACGTTTTCACAAAATGTTCTTTTTCAGTCGTCGACGAGTATACTAAGAAAATATGGTAAAAAAATATGGTTTATAGGAAGACGAGTTACAAACTGTTTTCATAACCAGCATCAAAAATACTATATAGAACCAAAATAAAAAAATTAGTCTGAAAAAGAAACGTTTTTTAACAAAAAAATTATTGGGGAAGGGGTTAAAGGAGCTCTGCAGACAGACCACATCACCTGCAGATGCCTTGGAAGCCATTGTAAAATTTAAGACACCAATAAATTGTACACAGATCTCTTGGCTTCTTTACAATTGAAGAGAAGGAATCGAAAATGAAAAGAAAAAAAAACAATAGGAAAACAAACTAAGTTACTCTTTTTGCATTATATTTATTTCATAGAGCTCGGTTTTTATAACAGACTAACAAGAAATTGCATGAATAATTAATTGATTACATTTACGATACTTACCATGAAAAGATAAGCAAATAATAATGATAATATTCTAACAGAAGATTTTCCAGAACAGTAAAAGTTGTTGATCTAAAAGAATTTATACAAAAATTTTTAAGATCCCCAGAAATGGAATTAAATATTTAGCTTAGATGAACCCTAACCTAGACAATAAAGGGAACTTGTCTCTTAGAAGAAGAATAAAGTAAGCATGGAATTTTGAGAACATGATACTATCTGGGACCTTAAATTGGGGACCACATCACCTAGTAGTGACATACTGAAATGAAAAAAAAAAATGTGAATCAGCTATAAATTCATGGATTCCATAAGTGACTTATATTACAAAATCTGGTAGGAACTGTTACAAGCATGTCAAACTTGTAGTTGGTGGGCCACAAGTTTAACATGCTTGGAAGAAAGCAGCCTACAGTGGCGAAATCAGGACATTTTGAGACCCTTACCACAGACCAAAGTGCTTTAAAGTCCCTGCTCTAATTGCAAAAAACTAATACCATCAGGATGACTGATGAGTAATTCATAATGTTACTTCAAGCATACATATTTTTTTCATACTGAATGAAATGACACCATAAAAGCCACATCTGCCTTTCACATTTTTGAAGTATCTCAGAACAATCAAGTTAACTCTTTTTTTTTAATCAAATCAAGTTATTTCTTTCATAAAACACTATTTTGGCATTTTGCATTTTCTTGTTGGCATTAATTGATGTGATGCTAATAAGTCTCCTGTAAGTGCGGATAGCTCTCTGAAGACTTTTAAGAATGGGAGGGAAAGCATTCTGGAAGCTATGGAGTGTCCACATGCATGCAGTGGCAGTGAAGATTTTGTTGGGAGCTGAGGCAGGTGAGCAGACCTAGGAATACTGACTGATAAAGTGAGCAGGAAATCAGCAGTGTTGGAAGCCATGTATATGTATGAAAATGTTCAAATGAGGTTATAAAGAAGGAAGAGAGAAGGACCAGAGATTAGCTCCTGGAAACCAGCACCCCTCCGGGGACCCGTGTGCATCATGATGAGGCACACTCTGAGATATCAGTCTTCTCCTCTGCCAAATGGAGGGGGAAGCCATACCTCACACAACTGTTATAACCATCAGTAATACTTCTAATCCTACCAGTCATTCTAAAAACACGGATTGTGGCCATCATGTCAAAGTATTTTGACTAGATCAGATAATTAATCTTATTAGAAAAACAGCCCTATTGAACATACCTGAGAACAGTAATTATCTTTCTAAATAAAGGACAATATTATGATTTTTACTATCAATTATGGCTGATATGTTATACTAATAACTAGAGGCCCGGTGCACAAAAATTTGTGCACTCGGGGTGGGGAGGAGGGCCCCTCAGCCCAGCCTGTGCCCTCTCGCAGTCTGGGACCCTTCGGGGGATGACCACCTGCTGGGTTAGGCCCGCTCCCCAGGGGGATGGGCTTAAGCTGGCAGTCCGACATCCCTCTGGAAGCCCAGGAGCCCTTGGGGAATGTCCACTTGCCAGAGGGGAGCAGGCCTAAGCTGCAGTCGGACATCCTTAGTGCTGCTGAGGAGGCAGGAGAGGGTCCCACCACCACCACTGTACTGGAAGACATCAGCCTGGCTTGTGGCTGAGCAGAGCTCCCCCCCCACTGGGGTGCCTGGCCAGTCTGGGTGAAGGGCTGAGGGCCCTTCAGTTTTCAGGCTGGCCTGCGACTGAAGCTCCAAGCCTCTCCTTTTTTTCTTTTTTTTTATTCTGGGATTTATTTACCTTCTATAATTGAAACTCTGTTGCCGTCACTGGCTGAGAGCAGGTATCTGGGGTTTGTTTAGTTTCTATAATTGACATTTTGTTGCTTTTGGAGATGTTGCTCTCGGAGCTTAGAGCAGGTCACAGCAGGCAGGGAACCTTGACTTCCTCCATCACTGGAGCAAGCAAGCCTCCTGCTCACTTCAGCTGCGTAGCTACCGGCCGCCATCTTTGTTGGCAGTTAATTTGCATATCTCGCTGATTAGCCAATAGGAAACGTAGCGGAGTTATGGTTAATTACCCCTTTTGTCTTTTATTAGATAGGATGATAATAAAGAAGTATAGTGATACTGTCCTTTCAGGCCTTGGTTTATAAATTTTATAGTTTATGAACTGTAATACTCTCGTGTGTTTTTTCCTTCAGGTTTTGTCTTGTGGCTGGTAGGCATGCTGATAAACATTCACTCCGATCACATCCTGAGGAATCTCAGGCAGCCAGGGGAGACTGGATACAAAATTCCAAGGGGTATGTAGTGAAAGTGGAGAATTCATTCTAAAATTGCATTGCTATTCTATGATGCCTTGCTATTCTAATTTTGTCAGATCTAGTAACTAATGTGTAATATGTATTAGCTGTAGTTTTTAATGTGAATCACTATTATTTATAGCAGTCACTATGAATATTGTTTTATTAAAATGATAAATTCTGGCCAACTGAATGGTTATTAAGCAAAAAAGAAACTCTAGTTATCTCTGTTTGGAAAGAGAGAATATGAGAATTTATGGTTTACAAAGGGTGTCTAAAACTTCATTTTAAAAAATATTACATAATAGATAACCTTGACTGACCCTCCCTTTGAAAACAATTAAAAATGTTGGGTGAAATTTGCGGTGGGAGGGGGGGAGAGCTCAAGTTTCTTCACCTATGAAATGGAGATAATAAAATCTACTTTCTTGGTTTAGCTGAGAGCTATTATTATTGCTCATAACATATAAAGGGTTAATTAAATTAATAAGAAAAAGTCAACCAAACCACTAGATGCTCAACACCAATAAAAACCTATCTACCCTTTTTCATCTTATTTTCCGCTATTTCCTGGTACAATTTAAATACAGTGGGGCCTTGACTTACGAGTTTAATTCGTTCCGTGATGGAGCTCGTAACTCACATTACTCGTATGTCAAATCAAAAAGTGAACGAGTGAGACACGTGATGCTGGGCTGATGTTGTGGCATTCACTGTGACGTTCACTGCGCCAACTAGTGGTGGGGTATCTGAAGCTGGCTCGTAACCCAAATTTTAGCTCGCAACTCAAAGCAAAAAATCGGCCGAGAGACGGCTCGTATCTCAAAAAACTCGTTGGTCGGGACACTCAGAAGTCAAGGCCCCACTGTATATCAAATTATCTTAGTCCATATTCTCCTCAAATTGGCTTTGTACTTCTTTTCTCCATGCTTTGCTTTCACTGGATGAAATTTTTAAAAAGTCATTTTAAATGTATGAATGTGGTGTCAGGGAAGGAAGTCATCATCAGAGGGCAAAACCTGAGTCCTAGTGTCCAAAGTACACCCATCAGAATCTGTGGCCATTGCTCCCCTCATGCTGCTTTGCAGCCCACATTAGCGCCACCTGGAGGGTCTGAAAAACCTCAAGCCATGAATCAGGATCCATGTCATCCTGGTGGGTGATGCCCTCATACATGGGCCAGGGCACACAGAAGGGATCTGCTGTCAGCTCAGGCCTCAGAGAGCCCCACAGACCACAGACCATACTCTAAGGTTACAGAGCCAATGAAGAAATCTGGCGCCCAGAGTGACAGCACAATTAAATGTGAGACACCTCAGATCTTAGAGTTAATGGAAACAGATTATACAGTGAATGCTTAAATGTTTAAAAAAATAAAAAGGGATTTAAGTTAATGATTAAATATATATATATACACACACACACACACATACACATACATACACACACGCACTATAAAAAGGGCTAGCAAATATAAGTTAGAAATCAATAGAGCTTCTAAAACAGGAATCAAGTAGGTAAGACTAAAACTTCATTGGACCTGGAAAGCACACTTACATACCTGGAAACTATACAAGGAGAATAGCAACGTAAGGAACAAATGACAAAAAAATCCTACATTTCAAATTACTTAAACTGGGGCCCTGCAGAGTGTGCAGCTCTGGCCTCAGAGCCTTTGCTTCTCCTGCCCAGAGGGCTTCCACCCTAATAACTGCAGCCCAACCCTCCCAGGAAGTCTGGGATCAAAATTCACCTACCCAGGGAGGCTTGTTCCCAGCCACTGTCTGTTACCATGACCTCCCTCTTCCCCCAACTCAACTTCTGAGCCCTCTTGCCCTGCTCTGCTCCCCACAGAACTCCACACCCTCTGCCAGACTGTGCTTTCCTTGTTTAGTACACTGAAGTTTAACGTTCCAGATGTGGGGGGTGGGGATCTTATCCACAGTTCACTTTAAGTGTCTAGACCAGGGTCTGGCCATAATGTAGACTTGATGAATCAGTAAAGTTTTGATGAGTGAGTAAACCAGTGACTGGGTGAGTGAATAAATGAATGAATGAATGAATCTGTCCTTGAAAATCAATATTTTCTTCAATTTTTAGTCTAGAGTTCTATACAGATCCATTTTATTAAGCTGGTTCATTAATTGTTCTGTATTCTCTGTCCTTGCTCAGCTTTTGTCAGTTTGATCCATTAATTAATGAAGTGATATATATTAAAGTATATGAAAACTGTAGCATTTTTTTCTCAGCTAAAACGACGGGTATTGATACAGGTAGATAGTTATTACCAGAATTTATGATATGAAATAGTAAAACTAGTAATGTTGGAAGTGTTTCATTGATTAAAATTCAGTAAAAGATATATTTTCCCATAGTTGAATTTATGTTCTCCGAAGTAGTTATTTACTGTTATCTCTTAAGTCAATATTTCCTGAGGCATCACTTTGTAGTCAATGCACCACTGGTTCTGTGCTTTCTTCTAGGAGGCTTATTTGAATACGTAAGTGCAGCCAACTACTTTGGAGAAGTGGTTGAGTGGTGTGGCTATGGCCTGGCCACCTGGTCTGTTCAAGGCGGGGCTTTCGCTCTGTTTACATTTTGTGTTTTATTCACAAGAGCACAACAGCATCATCAGTAAGTTTAAAACATTTTTAACATTTTTAATTTGTTCTCTGACCTTACTATACCAACTTTTAGATTAGCCTTTTGAAATGTTAATATTAATTTGATTTGCCAAATCCCAGTTTATACCATGCCATGTCTAAAAAGCACAAAACCATGCAAATATCTGAAGACTAATCCAGCTATAAGAAACCAGTGGATACACATCAGCATTATCATTTTGTCCACCTGTTCTGAGGCTCTGAATTTATACTGCTGGACTCTGGACTTGATGGTCAAGTTAAATGTCAAGCAGGGCATTTGGGATCTGACCTGGAACACGCTGATTAAAAGGAGGAATGCTGACTGTGCAGTAATGAGAGCTCAGAAGGCCTGCAGCTGGAGGCAGAGCCCAGCATCCTCCCCCACAGAGCCATTCACACCTAGGTTCCTGATGGACTATGGGCTCCATGCACTCCTCCCCACCCTTCCCCACATAATGTTCAAATGCTTCCTTTAGAACCAGAAGGATTCATACTCTAAACAGGCTTGACTTTAGACTAAATATACATTACAAAGTCCTAGAAAATGAATAAAACAGCTAGAATTCATGCATCAATAATGATGACAACAGCCAGCTAATCTCAGCCAAACTTGAGGTCCTGTGTACAGGGAATCTGTGCTCTCCCCATCCCTCTCCACCTCCTCTACCTTTCTAACTACCATCACCTCTGGGGGAAGATGCTACTCCCAGATATTTGTTATGTTAGGATTTAAGAAGCGAATATTGGCTGGTTTCTAATAATAAAAACAAATAAGATTATTTTAAGAAACTGGATCAGGGGAGGATTGAACAAGAGCATGCCAGGCCAGTTGTCAGGCTCACTCCTCAAATGAAAATGAAATAGGAGAATCCCTCTTAGCATTGGAATATGTAACATACAGAAATAGAAAATACATAATTTCATTTTCTGAGGTATCCTTTGCACAAAGATTCATGAATTGAAAGGGCTCTTTGCCATTTGTTTGATGTTTAAATTAATGTTGATGCAAACCAAATTTAATTGCTGAACAATGAATCAATTCAGTTTAGTGTATGTTTACAAATGTTGGATTTACAAACTGAGTACAAAATGAAAGCTATTTTTTTTCCTAGTAATCCAGTGAACCCAACTAATTAGCCCATCAGATAAACTGATTCCAAAAGAAAACAGTCCACAGGGCTATTCCTGCATCAAAGCATCATTTTGTTACAACAAATTTCTGTCTGTAATGGAAGTATTTAATTCATAAATAATTATCTTGATCATTAAGGGCTAGGTTGGACGGGTCAGCTGTGCCAAGTGCTAACAGATATTCTGGTTTGAGAGCAACATTTCAAGGAATTTTAAGGAGGCATGTTTTCACATGGCTTCCTTCCATCTGCCTTGGGCAATCATGCTTATGCACTGGACCAGAGCACAGGCCGCCCATGCTTCTACAGCTGTGAGGTGATAGAGTACAGATGTAGACTTGTCATGTCTCAAAGCTGCACCTTGGACCCCAGACAGGGAGGATAGCGTTTAAGGAGGGGCTCTGTTGCAATAACAGGGTTACCATTTGTTAAGTTTAATGTCACTTAAAAAGTGAATTCAGTGTAAATTCAGTGTGTCTTTAAGACACTGATTGATAGTGTAATGATTACAAAATAAGGACACACAGTATGTTGATGAAATGCTGCCTTGGTCTCACAGCCCCATTCATCAGACTCGAATACAAAGAGCATGACTTGTGAGCACTTGCAAAGTGTTTATTCAGCTGTCACTGACCTGTCTCTGCTAGAGAAAGACTTCCATAAGAGAAATGTAGGATCATGAAACTGTGAGCCAGAAAAACAGTAACAGCTTTGAAGAATTACCTCAGATTTAGCATAACCTGAATTAGATGAAGTGGGTAGTCCTCAGCCGGAGGTCATTTCACTTTCAATGAGAAGGCAAGGGTGCATTAGTTCAGGCCCCATAGCCACAAAATCAATACAAAAAAATTGGCATCCAACCCTGGTCTGTTTACATGAGTGAAAGCTTTTTGATCTAGAGATAGAAATATGAGTGAAAAATATAATAGAAATCATGCTGCTTATTCCACTTTTAAAAATATTTATGCATACTAGAGGTCTGGTGCACGAAATTCATGCACAGGGGTGGGGAGTCCCCTCAGTCCAGCCTGCACCCTCTCCAATCCGGGACCCCTTGGGGAATGTCTGACTGCCGGTTTAGGCAGTCAGGCATCCCTCTCACAATCCTGGACTGCTGGCTCCTAATCGCTCTCCTGTCTACTGGCCTGATTGCCCCTAACTGCCCCCCCTGCCGGCCTGGTCGCCCCCACTGTCCCCCTCTGCCAGCCTGGTCATCCCTAACTGCCCCCCCCCACCGGCCTGGTTGCCCCCAACTGCACCACCCCCCAACCAGCCTGGTCGTCCAACCCAGCCTGCTTGTTCAGTCATTTAGTCATCCCTTACTAACCTCCCTGCCAGCCTGGTCACCCCACGCAGCCTGCTGTTCGGTTGTTTGGTTGTACCTCACTAACCTCCAGTGCCAGCCTGGTCGCCCCACGCAGCCTGCTTGTTCAGTCGTTTGGTCGTCCCCCATTAACCCCCCTGCCGGCCTGGTCATAGGCAGCCATCTTGTGGGGGTGTGAGGATCAATTTGCATATTACCTCTTTATTATATAGGATACTTTTTTAAAATATTTTTTTTATTGATTTCAGAGAGGAAGGGAGAGGAAGAGAGAGATAGAAACATCAATGATGAGAGGGAATCATTGATTGGCTGCATCCTGCATGCCCCTTACTGGGCGCTGAGCCCACAACCTGGGCATGTGCCCTTGACCAGAATCAAGCCCGGGACCCTTGCATCCACAGGCTGATGCTCTATACACTGAGCCAAACCAGCTAGGGCTATAGGATACCTTTAATCATAAATCTTTAAATATAATTTTTTGAGGTGGATTTGTGATCCTAGTGGTGAAATAATTGAGAAATGTTTTTCTCTAATCATTTAACAAGTTATATTTTATTCCTATGGAATGGTTTCTATGAAGTTCATTTAACATATTTCTTGTTGGGTGAGAAAATTCTGCTCTGATAAAGGTTCTTTGTGACAGTGGGTAGAATTTAGCCTGCTGCATAGCACTTCACAGCAGGGCTGTCACAGCCCTCTAACATCCTGCAGGCATGTGGGCATATTGGCCTGCTTTTTCTAATTTTAGGCTGTCCTTTGTTTCCATTCTTGTTCCTTTTAGGCTAGTGTGTCCCTCTTCAATGGACGTTTCTAGGAGAGGAGCTCACCTCCTGCCTCTCCTAACATAGTGCCCAACGCTGCTGATTCATGGGCAAGCTCTTAGAAACTAGTCCATGGTTCATGTTTTAAGTCCCAAACAGGCTGTCTTAGTCTGTTCAGGCTGCTATAACAAAACGCCATAAACAGGGTGCCTTATAAATAACAAACATTTCTTTCTCATAATTCTAAAGGCTGAAAGTCTGAGATCAGGGTGCCAGTACAGTCAGGTCCTAGCAAAGGCCCTCTTCTGGGTTACAGACAGTACCTTCTGACTCTGTCCTCACATGGCAGAAGGAACAAGGAGCTTTTAGGGGGAGCCCTTTTATCAGGACACTATCCTATCATGTGGCTCCAGTCTCACTTCCCAAAAGCTTCATCTCCTAATACCATCACCTTAGGTTTTTTAACATACAAATTTTGGGGGATACACATTCAGACAGTTGCATAGGCCTCTAAAAAATGTCAGTGATTAATGAGTAAATATATGTATAATGCACTTTTACACACTTTGCACTGCTGTTGTCTGTGGCCACATCTGCCACAGGCACTCTTGTCTGCAGCACATCACTGAGCTGGGAAAGGCTGTTGATCCACAGGTCCACTGCTCAGCTCCTCAGGACTTTTCTCATTACATGTCCTTTTGGGCGTACAGAACAGCATCTGAAAGTAAACATGGTAGTCTCCCATAATTCTCTATTTGTGGGTTACAGTGCTAAACCTCACCAAAATCTAAATTCCATAGGACTTCACTCACTCACTTTGTTTGCTGTTGTCATATATTGCTGTCACATTAACAAATAACTAATTGTTTTCCATCATGAGTTTTAATCTGTTTAGCATTCTTTTGAGCTCACGGAAACTCCATTTTTCTATTTCTTCATCATGTCAAATTATTTTAAATTTTTACTGTCTACTTAATGTCCACCCTTCCCAACTAGCTGTTACCCCAAAATGAATGAATGTGCCTTTGTTGACATAATTTATATCAGAACGGAAAAGACCTGTTTGTTCTGAGTGCAGGGCTCAATGATGAATGAGCCCATGTTGCATTTTCCCAGATCTGTTTGAGAGTTACCAGCTTGGGTGCCCATTCCACAGACTGGGTATGAAGCAGTAGTTCTCTTCTGGGAATTGGAAAAAACTAACAGAGTCACCAGAAAATAATTAAGATACACCTACTGGGTTCCTCTCTTCCCCGGTCTACACGCTTCCTAGATCTGGAAAGATGTCTCCTCCATATGCTAATCTGCATCTTTATCATAAATCAGTAGTTTTTCTTGCCAATATAAGGGTGGGTTATATGAGTCACTTCTTGTGACTTATACTTTCTAATCACATATATCTAATTATCCATGATATAGACAAAAATCAACCTATGTATCTGAAATGCCAAAGTTTTTATTACTATTAAAAACTGTATGCCTTGAGAATAAAAAAATTGTTCCTTTGCTAGCATGTATTACATGTTTAAGAGACAAAATTATTTCCTTTTTTATGTCCTTTTTTTTTATTGTAGGTGGTACCTTGAGAAATTTGAAGATTATCCAAAATCCAGGAAAACTCTAATTCCATTTTTGATTTAAGTCCATTATCAGTGGAATTATCTTCAACTTGATGCTTTTTTTATAATGTTTCTCTAGGGATTATATAAATGAATTATTTCTTTGTCATTTTCCTGCTACTTCATCTTTTCCAAGATTTACCATAGGAATTCTTTTCCTAGTAAATTTGTAAGCTACCTAATAACTTACCAGTCAAACTGAAATGCAGGTTGAAGTATTCTACTGCATACCAGGGTAGGACTCTGGAGCTCTGGGTAATGACTGCTGACCATTTCTCTGATTTTGGACTTTTGGTTACATCCAGCTGAATGTGCAGAAGACCGGAATGTACACACCATCTTTGAAGACCTTTATGGGCCAAAACCTTCCATTAGCCCTTGTACAATCCCATAGAACAGTTCTGACAAGATCAAAGGCAATGTTGTCCCTTCTCCCATAGAGGCATGATCTGTCTTCTGGGTCCCTCTCATCCCACTGGGTACCCACAGTATAGTCAGGGACTCAAGGAAATGCACGGCCTCTCCCTGCTGGGTGCTGTGCAGGCAGGGAACTTGGAAATGGAGAAAGAAGATGTCTGAGACCCAGCTGAGGCCTGGACAAAAGGCACCTGCCACTGTTCCAGCCCAGCCCACCAGGTGACTGTGCTGGCAGGGCAGGATGCCGAGATATTTATAAGGAGCAAGCTACTCTGTCCCCCACAAAAGGACTCTGTGGAGGTGTGAGGGTGGGAGTAGGCAGGTGCAGCAGGGCAGTTGCCACCTCCTGCACGTTCCCGTCTCGGGTCACTCGCCGTAAACCATCATTATTCCCTGGTCTGAGATGTTTTTTCTAAGTTCCAGATAGATCTAGAAATTCTTTTATTATTTTTTTTTTTGAGGGGGAGATAGAAAAACATTGATGGAAGAGAAACTGATCAGCTGCCTCCTACACGTACCCTGACCTGGTATCAAGCCCACAACCAGGGCATGTGCCCCAATGGAATCAAACCAGTGATCTTTTGATGCATGGAGCCACACTCAACCGACTGAGCCACACTGGCCAGGGCTAGAACTAGAAATTTTGAAGACACTTTTTTTAAAGTACCTCTCAACATTGCAAAATGATATCTTGAAGCAGAATTTCTTGTTTAAGATGCATTTGAAGGTTCACTAATATAAATGGCAGTAAAAAAAAAAAAAATGTACTACCTACCAGCCAGCATGGCTCCGTGGTTGAGCATAGACCTGTGAACCAGGAGATTACGTTTGGATTCCCAGTCAGGGTATATGCCAGGTTAGGAGCTCAATTTCCAGTGTGGGGCGTGCAAGAGGCAGCCTATCAATGATTCTCTCTCATCACTGATGTTTCTCTCTCTCTCCCTCCCTCTCCCTTCTTCTCTGAAATTAATAAAAAATACTTTTAAAAAGAAATAAGAAGGAAAGATGCACTCAGCTCAAGCCTGGGCTGAGCCCTGGGAGACGGGTGGGTGCGGACAGGGTTTCCAGAGGCGGCTCGGGCGTGATGGGGCACATAGGTGGATGGAGACGGAGATGGAGATGCCTCTATAAATCTCGTCTCCGCTGGCTCACGCCTCCCGAGATGGTGCTCTTCAATCCGATGCTGACAGCTGATAATGTCAGGCTGGGGTATTTTGGGAAAGAGCATGTCTGTTTCTTCCATATAAGAAAGAATCTGAATGAAAAATGTATGGTTTTGATCTGATTAAAGTATAAATCTTTTTTGGATCAAGACCCAGGTGGTTAAGGCCCTATGGCTCCTGGGAGGTGGGGGAGGGGAGAGAGACTACTTACCTGCCCCTACACCTGCAACAAGTACCCACCCACCCCCCGCCCCGAAAAAGGTCCCTGGGATGTTAAACTTACAAACCTAAGTCCATATTAATTAAAAAAAAAAAATCAAGCACAATTTTTAAACTCTTGGCCTGGCCGGGGGGGCTCAGGGGTTGAGTGTCGACCTATGAACCAGGAGGCCACGGTTTGATTCCCAGTAAGGGCACATGCCCAGGTTGTGGGCTCAATGCCTGATAGGGGGCGTGCAGGAGGCATTCCATCGATGTTCTTTTTCTCTCTAAAAATCAATAAGAAATATTTAAAGGCATCGAGGCAAAGGAAAATGATTGAGGAGAGCAAGGCCTCATTCTGAGCTGGGAGACTTGACCTTGTGCATCCCTTTGCAACAAGGAGCTCTAAGGGTCTTGGGGAAATCGCTGCATGGGAATGTTCTTAGGTTCTCCAGCTTTGCAGTCATAACATTTGCAAATATCTTTTTATAAATATTTTTAAAATACCTTTTATTGATTTTTAGAGAAAGAGAGAAACATTGATGTGACAATGAAACATCGATTGGCTGCCTCCTCCATGCCCCCTAACAGGGATTGGCTGATAAACTGAGCATGTGCCGTGTCAGTGGAATCAAACCCACAACCTTTTGGTGCATGGGATAATGCCCAACCAACTGATCCACACTGTCCAGGGCATCATTTGAATCTATTCCTTTTGTTTTTGTTTGATTAAATTAGCAAGAAAGTTAAGAACAATTTTGATAACAGAGATGATTGTCAGGATTCTCATGTCATTTTAACAGGAATG